TATATATATATATATATATATACATATATACATATATATATACATATATACATATATATATATATATATTTATATTCATTTCAGACGTGTTGCATCTATTTGTTGCCATGTGTGCATATAAATTTTATTGTTGAAAATAAGTTAGAATTTTACATTAAAGTTGATTTATTTAATGTAATTTATTTATTAATTTTATTTTTCCGATAGTCTTTTTTATTTAGTTATTTATGATTTAATGCCATATCAGCACCAATAGCTATATGACAAAAAACAGTATTATGATTACAATATCATTTCAATATATTGTTTACAAGAGTTTACCAAAAACAACCAACATAAAAAATAAACAAATACTTAAAATCTGCCTGTCTGTCAATTTACTTGAAAGAAATAAATGACATAGAATAAAGGTGACATACCATTGTTTTAATAAAACAAAACAAAATAAAAAATCATACAAATAAATAGAAAAAAAAAGAAAAACGAACTATTGACAGTATCTATTAGATGATTTATTGCTTGTAATTGGTTATTTACTTATTTTTCTGACTTTTTAATCATTTGTCTAACACTTGAAAAACTATTTGGAAAAACAAAGCAATGTTTACTTATTTGAGAAATAATTAAAGTAAACATACCATTGTTTTAATTAAAAATAAAAATAAATATTGACAGCTTTTTTGGTTAATTTATTGTTTGTAATGTGTTATTTTTCCTGACTTTTTATTTGCTTGTCTAAAAATTTTGTTCGGAAAACAAAGCAATGTTTACTTAATTAAGAAAAACTTGAAGGTTACATTTTAAAATAAGAAAATACAACAAAACTTAACAAAATAACAATGTATTCAAAGTTACTTATTTTTGTAGCACAACTCTAGAAATGTAACATTGTAATGGCACCTTGAGCAGTCGATCCACGTCGGTTTTGGTGGCGGCGTCACTGAGCTCCTGAGTGAGGCGCGTCTGGATCACGCTTCTTCTGACGCGATAGTTCTTCATGAAGATCTCGAACAGAACCTGGCGGTGCTGCGGACGAAGACAAAAGCATTCTTGACTAACTGCTAACAGTCACAGACACCAACAACAAGACTCAAAATCAGGGATGCACAATATTATCTGAACTGGCCGATAAAGGCTCAAAATGTAAACTTCGGCCGGTTCCGACAATATCGGTAAAGTCGAATAATATTGTAATATCGATAAATTCAGATAATATTGTGCATCACAGACACAGACTCAAAATCAGGGATGCACGATATTATCGGAACCGGCCGATAAAGGCTCAAAATGTAAACATCAGCCAGTTCCGATAATATCGGTATATTCTAATAATATCGTAATATCGGTAAATTCCGATAATATTGCGCATCACACACACAGACTCAAAATCAGGGATGCACGATATTATCGGAACCGGCCGATAAAGGCTCAAAATGTAAACATCAGCCAGTTCCGATAATATCGGTATATTCTAATAATATCGTAATATCGGTAAATTCCGATAATATTGCGCATCACACACACAGACTCAAAATCAGGGATGCACGATATTATCGGAACCGGCCGATAAAGGCTCAAAATGTAAACATCAGCCAGTTCCGATAATATCGGTATATTCTAATAATATTGTAATATTGGTAAATTCCGATAATATTGTGCATCACAGACACAGACTCAAAATCAGGGATGCACAATATTATAGGAGCCAGTCGATAAAGGCTTAAAATGTAAACATCGGCTGGTTTCGACAATATCGGTAAAGTATAATAATATCGTAATATCGGTAAATTCCGGTAATTTCCGTAAATTCCGATAATATCGTGCATCACAGACACAGACTATATTATTGGAACTGGCCGATGTTTATATTTTAAGCCTTTATCGGCCGGTTCCGATAATGTAGTCTGTGTTTGAAAAAAATTACGCTGATATGTGTTTGATTAAAGGGGTCATATGATGCTTTTTTAAAGATCATTATTTTGTGTATTTGGTGTAACAGAATATGTTGACATGCTTTGAGAAAGGAAAACTTGAAATCGCATCATATGACTCCTTTAAATAAAGCAGTAATTGATGTCATAAAATCACGATTATGTTTTGATGGAAAGTCAGATGCCAAACAAAAGGAAATATATCGGTATCTGCAAATATCGGCAAATCAGATATCAGCAAAAATCCAACACTGTGCATCCCTCCTCAAAATCACAATAAATCAGGCTGCAGCTCCCAGAAATCACCTTGTCGAAAGTTTCTCCGCTCTCCCACAGGCCGAAGACCTTCTGCTCGTCTGCCGTAGCATTGCTCTGAGGAGGAAACTACACACACAAACACACAACGAGTTCAGAAACAGCCAATGCACCGTCTAATGCTAGCATTAAGACAATTACTTTTGTACTATTTTAAGTATTTGTTAGACATGTTGCATGCTGTTGCCCTTTCTGTGTGTCGTCATGTGGGTGCACATGAATGAATGTTATAAAATATCATTATTACATGTGTTCATTTAGTGAAAACATTTTATATAGATTTGTTTAACCTCTTGCATGAAATGTTTTGAATCCAAGTGACTGAAAACACACTTTTAAGCCACACACACACACACACTCAATCCAATTAGCCTTAAGAAGAAAAGATCAGACCACATCTTAAACTCAAACACATTACCTCAATGAGCAGGGCAGACATACAAGACAATGAAAGCCAGAAACTAACGAACATAAAACAGTTCACTTGTGCTCAGACGTAGGGTGACCACCTGGCAATAGATCTGTTGCGGGACAGTAGATGTGATTTTGAGGGACAATGCGAGACACGTGTGAGACAGATACAATCACTTCTGTTATGCTATGAGGGCTGCCAAGTGTATATGATACGACGATAGTTTCTCTCAAATGAAACGGGAAGTTCTGGAGATGTTGTTCATGCATTTGTGTCCAAATTTAGTGAGGCATGCAGGATTCATATTTAATGATTTGTATGGTGAAAAGCGCTGTACAAATAAACTTGAATTGAAATTGAATTGTATTAAACGATGAATACATACATGATGCCGTTTTGTTTATAGTTGTCTAAGCAACTTAATTATAATTGGTTTATAAACATTTTAAACATTATGCACTTTTTTTCACAGATAGTCATGTTATCTTATGCTTTGAATAAACGTGCATTAGTAATATTTTGCTCGATGCGCCCTCTTGTGGCTTCAGAAGCTTTTCTTCACCCTAACTGGAAATTATGCATTTTAAATTCTACTATAATTCAAATTTTGATCATATTTAAGTACAAAATTCTAATTTAGTTTCAGCGATTTTGACAGCCCTAATCCAAACAAAATTCTGTGACATTCCGTGTTATAGAGTAAATTCCGTTTTTATGAAGTCACAGGGCCCCACAGATGCATATGTTGAATCAGTTTAAAACAAAACAATACGGTGCATTAAAATCGCACAGCATCCGCATGATCCATCACAGTACTTACAGGCACCAGGATCTGTTTGCACTGGCTCTGGAGGATGGTGTCCTGGAGCATGCGGTCCGTCACGTGACCGTACACCGAGTGACCCGTGGGCAAACTGGCCAGATGCAGGTTAAACAGCCTCTTCACTTCACTCAGGCACAAAACATAGTGCTTCCGGAAGGTGCTCCGCACAAACTCCTGCAGCTCCGGGGTGAAGGCGTGACCGTGACCGTGTCCGTTATGAGGGTCCGAGAGTGGAGAGGTAGGGTCGGGGTAACCGTTGATCGAGCCGTTTGTGTCCATGGGCTCTTCAGAGTCACTCATGGGCTCCTGTTTGACCTGCACCGGGGTGCTAGATTCACCGGACGAGCCCGTGTTTGTAGACACCTTCGGTCTCCGAGAGTCCAGCTCCCTCTGCATGAGGGCGTGGTTTTCTCTAGCGCTCTCCCTCGCCGCTTTCAGACGCTGATCTCCGCTGACGTGAGCGGGCGCTACAGCAAACACAACACGACGTGAACACACAGAACGAACACTGTTCAAAAGTTTGGGAAAGAAACTAATATTCTCATCCTGCAGAGATGCATTAAATCAGTAAAGACATTTTTAATGTTACAAAAGTGCTGTTCTTTTGAACTTTCTATTCATCTGTGAATCTTGAAAAATAAAATGCATCACAGTTTCCACAAAAACATTAAGTGTGTTCAACATTGATAATAATCAGAAATGTTTCTAATAATCAGCATATTACACTGATTTCTGAAGATCATGTGACACTGAAGACTGGAGTAATGATGCTGAAAATACAGCTTTGATCACAGAAATAAATGACATTTTAACAGACATTCACATTGAAAACAGCTGTTTTAAATTGTAATAATATTTCACATTTTTTTTACAGCATTTCTGATCAAATAAATGCATCCTTGCTGAGCAGAAGAGACTTCTTCCAAAAACATTTAAAAATCTTACCGACCCCAAACTTCTGAACAGTAGTGTGTATAGTTACATATATATATATATAGTACATAAATAAGTCAGAACATACCCATCCGAGCATCCTTTTTAGCCACAAAGTCATCTTTGGAGAAGTTAAACACTTTTTCCAACCTGTAATATAGTGCTCATTTAGAAACACTAGGAGATTCTCACTTCCTATTAAGAACTATATACGATATCTTCAATTATTCACCTTATTCAGCTAAAGCATTAGTTCACCAAAAAAAATTAAATTTCCCCATATACACTCAGCCTCATGTTAGTATAAAACGCAGCAGTGCTTATCAGGTTAACAAAGTGCTTTTGTGTTTCATAGAATAAAGAAAACTTGGATTTGGAACGGTGTGGAATGAATAGATGATGATAAAATGTTCATTTTTTGGGTGAAATATCTCTTTAAAGGCAACAAACTCAAAGTTTTTTATCAGATTCTGCGAGGTCATGTCATACTTAGACTGAATGCCCAGCCAAAGCATCTGCTGCCTTTGAGCCACATCAGGATGCTTTCTGATGAAATCATGATCTGTGGGCAGCAGGAACTCCCAGCCTCGGTTTAATCGAGGGACCGACATCTGCTCCAGGAAGTCCTTCACGTCCTCTGGAGGAAGCTGTAGTCACATGACACAGAAAAACATCTGAGGACGACAGCAGCACCAGCAGCGGAATTATAATGATTAATGCACACACACACACACACACACACACACACACACACACACTCTGAAGCTGGACGTTTGTACAATTACACTAAAAGAGCTTTGACTTAAACTATCAATCAGAGACAGAAGACATGGATCATTTAGAGACCTAAGAAATGGATCAAATATGATACAGTCGCTTTATAGGGTTAAAGTCTACATATGGCTACATAAAGTTTCAAGACTATAAAGATAAAAACATCCCATCTTGTCCTTACAGCGCCACCTTCTGTTACACTCAAGTACACACACACAAACCTTAATGATGGCAGCGACCTCTTTTCTCATCAGGGTTCTTTCTAAGGTGAATCTCCACATCTGAAAGGGCAACAAGGATCAAATGCATTTACCAAATCAGCAAACATTAATAGTAATAATTGTGACCTTGGACCACAAAACCAGTCATAAGGGTCAATTTTTCGAAATTGAGGTTTATACAGCATCTGAAAGCTGAATAAATAATCTCTCCATTGATGTATGGTTAGGATATGTTAGGATAGGACGATATTTGGCCGAGATACAACTATTTGAAAATCTGGAATCTGAGGGTGCAAAAAAATCTAAATATTGAGAAAATCATCTTTAAAGTTGTTCAAATGAAGTTCTTAGCAATGCATATTACTAATCAAAAATTAAGTTTTGATATACTTACGGTAGGAAATTTACAAAATATCTTCATGGAACATGATCTTTACTTAATATCCTAATGATTTTTGGCATAAAAGAAAAACCTATAATTTTGACCCATACAATGTATTGTTGGCTATTGCTACAAATATACCCCAGCGACTTAAGACTGCTTTTGTGCTCCAGGGTCACAATTAATATTTAGTAATCACATTGCTTTTCCTTACTATCAAACCAGGAGACAGGAATCATATCAGGCTGTGACCACAATATTTCTGCCAGATATAAAACAAAAAAACACCCTTATACTTAAACTAAATGCTGCTGGATGGCAAGCTGTTTATTGCTCTTATTTATTCATGCACAACCAAAAAAGTCGCAAAATGCCATTAAATTGAGAATAAGTTAACTTATTGTGGAAATCCTTTCTTTATACTTTTGTCAATTAAACAAAGGTCAAAGAGAGTGAACAAATCATATTCTTGATTTAATGGCATTTTCCAAAACATCCCAACTTTTTTTGGAATTGAGGTTGTAGCTACTACCATTATGATATTATTATTTTTTTACTGTTAATAATTTTATTTTTAGGTTTATGACTGCTGTTTTTGCTTATACTGTATGTACTCCTGTAATTGTTTAATTTTCACCTTTCTTTTATTTTTATTTCATGCTGTCCATGCCTAAACTGCATCATATGAAGGTTCCACTATTATATGACCTCGCTCTGCTTTACCTGTAAGTAACCTTGTTCTGTTTCTCTTACCGCATGATTACACATTAATGTCTATATATGTGACTCTGGAGTACAAAAGCAGTCTTAAGTTGCTGGGGTATATTTGTAGCAATAGCCAACAATACATTGTATGGGTCAAAATTATACATTTTTCTTTTATGCCAAAAATCATCAGGATATTAAGTAAAGATCATGTTCCATGAAGATATTTTGTAAATTTCCTACCGTAAATATATCAAAACTTTATTTTTTATTAGTAATATGCATTGCTAAGAACTTCATTTGAACAACTTTAAAGCTGATTTTCTCAATATTTAGATTTTTTTGCACCCTCAGATTCCAGATTTTCAAATAGTTGTATCTCAGCCAAATATTGTCCGATCCTAACAAACCATACATCAATGGAAAGCTTATTTATTCAGCTTTCAGATGATGCATAAATCTCAATTTCGACAAATTGACCCTTATGACTGGTTTTGTGCTCCAGGGTCACATATAGCTAATGACGGCAATATCTGTAATTGTATGATACAATCATGTGGCGAAAATCAAAATAAAGGAGAAATATAAATGAAGCTCACCACAAAGTCTCGACCACGACAGAGCACTTCAGCAGGAACACCGCTGTGTGAGCTACAGGTGTTTTTGGGATACAGCACATCACTGCCAAAGACGCAAACCACAGAACTTCAGCATCTACTCAAACATCACGCATCGACTTAATGTAGGAAGGAAACAAACAGCGCACCTCTTCACGACCCAGTTTCCCTGGACGAGCAGCGCCACCTGCTGGATGCAGCGCAGTACAACGGTGGAGTCCGTTCCCGAGGCCAGCAGCCCCATCAGATTGGCAAACGGCATCACCTTGACTACGAGCAAAGGAAAACATTTACACACAGGGTTTCTGCAGGCAAAACAATACCTCGATGCATTCTCTGAATGTAAATGTCTAGCGGGAACACAATGAATTTACCTTCTGATCACACCGCAAAAAAAGAGATGTTCTTCCTCTGTCTTGTTTTCCAGTGCAAATGTCTAAAGAATCTTAAAGGGCATCCCTTTTACAAGATGTCATATAAGTCTCAGGTGTCCCCAGAATGTGTCTGTGAAGTTTCAGCTCAAAATACCCCACAGATCATTTATTATATCATTTTGAAAATGCCTATTTTGAGTGGAAGCGGAAACACGCTGTTTTCATGCCTGTATCTTTAAATGCAAATGAGCTGCTGCTCCCCGCCCCCTTTTCCAGAATAAGGCGGAGCCTAGTACCTCAAATACAAAAAAAACATCTGTTTAGGTTTGATAACCATGTCTATCGTGCTGAAATCATGCGTTTTAAAGCCATATCAGTTTAAACTAGGGTTCACAGAAAGCGGTACTAAAGTAAGTTCTCTTTCATGTCTTATTGCACTTAAACTGTCAAATACACAAACGTTTATGTTTAAAACACACATAGGTTACACAAACACAGTCGGTTATGTCTGTGAAGGTAAACAGCTGGGAAAGAAATCGCATGTTTAAAGTAGATCTGTATGTTAAGTAACAGCAGCACCAAAACATGCAGATTAAGGGGCGGTGATATTATAATAAGATCCCCTTCTTACGTCACTAGGGGAGCGAAATCTGAGCGGCTCGTTTTTTCACATGCTTGCAAAAAATAAAGTTACTGGGTTGTCCTTTTTCACGTTGTCTGGGTTTGTAGATGCACCAGGGACCCAATTATAGCACTTGAATGCAGAAAAAGTCCGATTTTCTTGATATTTCCCCTTTAAGATGCATTCACTTGAGATATAAAGTCTTGTTTTCTAAGAAGCTGATCAGAAATTAAGTTAGTTAAGAACAAATATCGGCCAACGGGCTTTAGAAGAATCAACGTAATTCAAACTCATTTTGTTTAGTTTTTCCAAGACATTTAAAATTTTCAGTAAACCTATCTTGATTTAATGTTTTGACGTTCAGATAATTGCACTGGAAAACAAAAACACTGAGGAAGACATTCGTGCTTTGCAGTGCATTCAACATTTAATGAATTCTGATTTAAGGCCTTGATTTGTGAAAGAGTGAATTAAGACTTTAAGACCTGCAGAGATGAACAAAGACGTAACCCAAGCTCACCATTCTTCATCAGCGTCCTGACTTGCTCACCCAGAGGCAGCGTGCGGAGCTGGGCCATTGAGAGCACGTTACTGGGACCCATGGGCTTGATGCTAGAGGACGAGACGGCATAAGATGGGGAACATGGGGAAAATACCGCCACCTGTATGTTCTTCTACTTACACTTTCTCTTCAGCCAGTGGAGGCATAAGCATGGCCAGATATTCACTGAGGAGAGAACAAACACATCAGGTGAACACACAGGTATTTGACAGACGGATGCTCCAGTGCTCGAGGGTAAATGCAGACACTAACCGCGGTGTTTTCACCAGTTCTGTGTTCTCTGTGGCATCCATGGCCTGACAGTAAAGATACTGGCGCTCGTGCTCAGAACGTCCGTCCTAAAGATAGAATCACAATAAACGAGAATGCATAAGGAATATAATATATATTGAATGACTTCCCAACTTTTTTGTCAGCTAAAACGTATTAGACGAGATTTTAAAGTTAATATTACAATAATTTAACATTTAACACATTTGCAGTTCCACATTTAATTCGATGCGTTTGCAGTTCTTTGATGTCAGTTAACGTTCGCATGACATGCAAGTAAACAATTTATTTTATTTTAATTTTTTAAAAATTCAAAAATTCTATAGTTCTGCGATTTGAACTGTGATGAGATAAAATTTCACTTTCGTGTTCCAAATGGTTTTTTTTTAAATCCGGTCATAATTATTTTTACTGTTATTATTATTATTAGAATTAGGGTTACAAAGGGGTGGAAAATTTCCGGAAACTTTCCAAAAATCCCTGGAATATTCCAAAAAAATCCTGGAATGTTTCCGAAATTTACTGGAAATTTTCCACCTTTTTGCAACCCTAATTATAATCATATAATAATAACTATTATTATTAGGTTTAACTGTAATTTAAGACAGAAATACACTGGAAATTAACACAGAAATACATTACCATTCACAAATTAAGACTATAATTAAATTAAAAATTAAATTAAATAGATTTGATATGATCAAATATTGAAAACCAAACATTACTTGAAGTCCCAGAGATTTTATGCTAATATTTCAATAATGAGATAAACATTTCACTTCCTTGTTCCAAACATTCACAGTTTAAAAAAATAAATAAATACAGAAATACATTACTGTTATAAATTACAACTGTACTGTAAAATAAAATATTTCATAATATAATACAATTCTTACTTTGCACTAGGGCTGGGCGATATGGCCAAAAAAATTTATCACGATAATTTTTTTTTTTTCATATCAGTCGATATCGATAATTATCACGATAAATGTCAAATCTTGATTTCTTTTAAGTGTAAAGCCAGATTTTTGCTCCAAAGTGAAAGTTGTAGAAACCAGACCGTTAATTTTCCTTAACAAAATAAATATCTAAATAGAAAAAATAATTTCTTAGTTTCAGCATGTTCTAATGAGTGATATTGTTTCAAATCAAGAAACAGGCTTGGGTTACCTGATAATATTAATAATAATAATATCACTTTTTGTCTCTTAGAAATGCACATTTGATAGTAGCTTGAGATAGGATGCAGATGTAGATTTTTGTTCATAATCAAAATCAGTAACATCTGTAAAAAATTGTAGCAACCTCAGTTTAATATGGTTACATTTATTCTGACCAAGTATTTATTTATTTTTTAAATGAAGCATTGGTCTCACATAGTAGCATACATTTAAATCATGATAAACACAGTTAAAACCACACATATAGCACCTCAATACCATGGTAAAAATATAACTATATGGTTATACAGCCCTACTTTGCATTACAAGTTATAATACTAAAATCAACGTCTTGCATTCTTCACTTTTAAAGGTTGAGACGGCATGTTTACTGATTTCAAGATCAAAGCCAAAGTCTTTGTAAGTGTAACAAATGTATAAAAATGATACAAATGTCATGTGTTTGTTTGATCCGATTTACAGTGTCTGTGATGCGTGCTGCAGCGGGTCACATGATCACACGCACCTTTATACCGTGGTAATGCAGGTGAACCCATGGCTCTTCAGCCTGTTTCTTCTGCAGGAACTCATAGGACTGGATGCGGCGCTGACGGGCCTGTTCTGACTCGGGCCGGGAAAACCTCACCTGGTTAAAGGACAAGTCAACAATAAGAGCGATGAGCAGGACCAGGCATTTTATTCCCTACTTGCCAAAAACAAAGAAAACAACTGCATGAAGTCTTACAGTGATCTGTTTAACATCTTCTTCTGCTTCGTCCTGAGAAGAGTCTCCAGCTGCAAACCCACGCACTCGTTAGTCGTTGACAACAATTATGACAAAGCACTGGGCAATGACATTTTATCAAAGATGACACATCTATATATATATATATATGTATATGTATTTGACCTTGACATACAAAAATGCATTTAAATTTCTTTTAAAAATAACAATGTATGCTCAAATATGTACGTACTTTTTAATTTCTCAGTCATTTTTAGTTATTAAATTAAAACCTTTCTGGAAAATGGGGAAAAATGTTTTGAAAATCATGTACTTTTCATTTTACACATATGCAATAACGTGTATGTGTCTAATATCTCTACATCCCCTTGTAAAATTAAATTGTTAATATATGTTGATTTTGTTTTAATAGATTTTATTACTTTGTTATTCTTCTGTTTACTTGTTTATTATTTTTTTTGTATGTGCAGAGAGTTAAAAAAAAGCATTTCAATGCACACTGTACTATGCATAATTGTGTGTGTGACAAATAAAATCTGTATGTGAATTTAAAAAGCAAAATGAGTATGACGTTTTCTAAGAACTCGGCATAAGTTCATCATAGACACTCTTATTAATATTTGTGATAATTTGATTTTAAAAAGAAAAATAAGTGCAATCTTCATTTGCCCTATAAGAGCAAATTTAGAAGAAAAAAACCCACACAAGTGACCCAAAAACACCCCATACCTTCGTTGGCTGCCTCTCGTTCTCTATGTTTAGTGTCAGCTTTATCCAGGTAGGTGAAGCTGGGTCTCATCTGGAGGATTCCCTGCAGTGGAGTGAGATGAAGCTCTCCTGCCACCAAAACATCACAGCACAGCACATTAGGGCGATATGGGCAAAAATTCATATCTCTGTATTTTTTGGCCGATTTGCGATATTCAGTATATATCTCGGTATTTTCGTTTTTGTATTTGTATTTTAAAAATCTGTATTTAATATATATATATTTAACTTCCCACCCAATGTTGTCCAACAAAACAATACATATTAAAGGCTATGAAAACAAATAAAGTGACTGTAACCATGTAAGCCTTCATATCATGTGCAAAAAAAGGGTTAAAATCACATTTCATTCTAACATTGTAACATCGCAATCTAAAAACTAAAATAAGGCTTTTAAAGCAGAAGTTAAATTCACTAAACTAAAAATGAAAATAAATGTGAATAAAAGCACAGAGTTGTGTTATTACAGTCACTTTACAGTCAGTGCTGTCATAAAAATAGACTTACTTGTAGGTTTAAAACTCTACATGTCACATTTATTGTCCAACAACAGATATTTCAGCGAAATGTATATTTTAGTCAGAATTATTGCGCTCCTATTTAATCGAGCTCTGTCTGTTTCACTGAAGTCTGTGAAGTTTAGCGGAGAATAGGCTCGCGCACTGACAGAAAAATTGAAATATTTCTAACATTTACAGACGGAGAATATACCTGTGAAATGTAAGTTCTGCATTCAGGAAGACGGCACATCTCAAACACATTAAACAGCGCGAGTAGCCTTTCTGTCAGAGCATATGACTAATAAACTAATATGCGAAGCGAAGCTATAAACTAAGTCTTACCAGTTTTTAAAGGCCTTAATATGAAGCTTGTCACATGTTTAGAACAAACTGGATCATGCACTTTCTCCGCAGCAGCTCAGTCTGTGTCCCGATGCGCTCGTATCAAACTACTGTAAACGGTATCGCCTCATATCGAATCGCTTATAAAGAAAATATCGTACAAATTCGATATACCGCCCAGCCAAACACATGCTAATTGAGATCCTGCGAAAGCCAACCTTTGTGAAACACAGCCGCAGCGAAGCGGGACGTGTTCGTGGTCGCCTGGATCGAGGAGAACGTTTGCTTGTCCATCATTTTCCTTTAAGCAGAAGGAAAGGATTAAAACTACGAACAGCAAAGTCCGGCTGTAAGCAGCAGAAAGGCTGATGTTCCTCACATCGAGTAGACGCTGGGGTCCTCCGAAGACGTGCCGTCCACATTGAGCGCGATCTGCTCGCCTTTACTGCGGCAGTAGTTCGGACTCATGGTGTCCATGGCCACCTCGAGCTCAACCTGGAAGTAGACAGGAACGAAACGTGACCTCTGTGCGGTCTGATAGGAGAAACGTCAGAAACGAGCAGTGAAATCCTGCTTACTTTCTGCTGCTTGGGTTTAATTCTGGCTGCCAAATGCGCTGCATTATCATAGCTCATAGAAGCAGGACGCACTGGGTACTGGAGAAAAAGAGGTTAAAAACATGAACAACAGGGACTAAAGTTGTGCAACTAGTGACAGACAGGCTGATATTTAAAGATTAAGGCTGCATTAAATTGATCAAAATGCCAGTAAAGACATTTATGATGTTTCAAAAGATTCAAATAAATGCTGTTCATCTGTGAATCCTGAAAAATAAAATGCATCACAGAAATATTGTGCAGCACGACTGTTTTCAACATTGATAATAATCAGAAATGTTTCTAATAATCAGCATATTAGAATGATTTCTGAAGATCATGTGACACTGAAGACTGGAGTAATGATGATGAAAATACAGCTGCGCATCACAGAAATACATTACAGTTTAACAGATATTCACATAGAAGACAGCTGTTTTAATTTGTAATAATATTTCACAATTTTTACAGTACCTTTGATCAAATAAATGCAGCCTTGATGAGCAGAAGAGACTTCTTAAAAATCTTACTGACCCTGAACTTTGAACATCTCATTGGCTGTCACTAAACAGCATTTCAAAAATAACAACTCTAACCTTCTCCTGCATGAATATTATCTGTCAGTCTTACCTGGAACAAATACAGCTTTTCCACAAGACTTCTGGCCAGATACACGTCAATCTATTAATAGAGAGAGCATGAACGATACAGATGCTAGAAACAGCACAATACAAGTCCAGCATGTTCACGTCTACCTCTTGTATAATTGGATCGTCATCATCTCCGCTGGCCATAATGAAGACCGGAGGAACCGCCGCTAGTGGATTTCAAACCTGCAAACACACAAATACACACACGTGTATATATATATATGTCTCCCTGGAGCACAAAAGCAGTGTTAAGTCGCTGGGGTATATTTGTAGCAATAGCCAACAATACATTGTATGGGTCAAAATTATAGATTTTTCTTTTATGCCAAAAATCATTAGGATATTAAGTAAAGATCATGTTCCATGAAGATATTTTGTAAATGTCCTACCGTAAATATATCAAAACTTAATTTTTGATTAGTAATATGCATTGCTAAGATCTTCATTTGAACAACTTTAAAGATGATTTTCTCAATATTTAGATTTTTTTGCACCCTCAGATTCCAGATTTTCAAATAGTTGTATCTCGGCCAAATATTGTCCTATCCTAACAAACCATACATCAATGGAAAGATTATTTATCCAGCTTTCAGCTGATGCATGAATCTCAATTTCAAAAACGTACTCTTATGACTGGTTTTGTGCTCCAGGATCTCTCTCTCACACACACACACACACACACACACACACACACACACACACGTATATATTCTATATGGGCTTCCATAACATATATGTGCGTGCACTTTCCACAAACTTGTTTATGTAGTCTACTCATTTGTAACTGTCAATCAATCACTAATTGTCCTGATAATTACCAGGCGACTCATGTTTAGTGACTGATGCAACACCATCACGACAGCTAGCAACTTTATAACACACACGATCACAATGAAACACACTAGTAAAAGTGAAGATGTTGAACTGAAGCACAGATGAAGGGACTCTGCCGGAGTGCGCAAACGGAACAGCATGCTAAGATGAGTTAGCAGCTTGCAAATTCATTTCATTAGCGATCCGTATGCGATTATAGACATGTTTTTATACGTATGAAACTTTTGGTGCAACATTGCAACAACTGACACACACTCACCGAGGCCTCGCCGGTCCACTAAACCACCAGAAGCCTGAAGCTGCAGCGGCGATCTGATCTGACGCTCACGCTCCAAACTCCGCGCTGTTGCCGTGATGTTCCCCCGCTGCTCGGTGTGAGGATCTCTGAGTCTGTCTGTGAGAGTGTGCATGAGATGATGCTGATCGCAGCGCTGCTGTCGCTCAAACACGTGGGGAGGAGCTGAGTGCGCTCGCCATATCCCAGCATGCACTGCGGCCGCGACGCGCCGGCTGCGTCACAAATCCAGCGCTGTGACGCCTGGGGGCGCGTCCCAAATCGCGTACTTATGCACTATTCTATGAGTGCATTGTGTATAGGTGCATAGTGTATAAGTAGATAGTGCTTAAGTACATAGTGTATAAGAGCATAGTGTACAAGTGCATTGTGTATAAGAGCATAGTGCATAAGTGCATAGTGTATAAGAGCATAGTGTACAAGTGCATAGTGTATAAGAGCATAGTGCATAAGTGCATAGTGTATAAGAGCATAGTGCATAAGTGCATAGTGTATTAGAGCATAGTGCATAAGTGCATAGTGTATAAGAGCATAGTGTACAAGTGCATAGTGTATAAGAGCATAGTGCATAAGTGCATAGTGTATAAGAGCATAGTGTATAAGTGCATTGTGTATAAGAGCATAGTGCATAAGTGCATAGTGTATAAGAGCATAGTGTATAAGAGCATAGTGCATAAGTGCATAGGGTATAAGAGCATAGTGCATAAGTGCATAGTGTATAAGAGCATAGTGCATAAGTGCATAGTGTATAAGAGCATAGTGCATAAGTGCATAGTGTATAAGAGCATAGTGCATAAGTGCATAGTGTATAAGAGCATAGTGTATAAGTGCATTGTGTATAAGAGCATAGTGCATAAGTGCATAGTGTATAAGAGCATAATGTATAAGTGCATTGTGTATAAGAGCATAGTGCATAAGTGCATAGTGTATAAGAGCATAATGTATAAGTGCATTGTGTATAAGAGCATAGTGCATAAGTGCATAGTGTATAAGAGCATAATGTATAAGTGCATTGTGTATAAGAGCATAGTGCACAAGTGCATAGTGTATAAGTGCATAGTGTATAAGAGCATAGTGTACAAGTGCATTGTGTATAAGAGCATAGTGCATAAGTGCATAGTGTATAAGAGCATAGTGTACAAGTGCATTGTGTATAAGAGCATAGTGCATAAGTGCATAGTGTATAAGAGCATAGTGTACAAGTGCATTGTGTATAAGAGCATAGTGCATAAGTGCATAGTGTATAAGAGCATAGTGTATAAGTGCATTGTGTATAAGAGCATAGTGCATAAGTGCATAGTGTATAAGAGCATAGTGCATAAGTGCATAGTGTATAAGAGCATAGTGCATAAGTGCATAGTGTATAAGAGCATAGTGCATAAGTGCATAGTGTATAAGAGCATAGTGCATAAGTGCATAGTGTATAAGAGCATAGTGTATAGTGCGTCATTTGGGATGCAGCTCTAGAGAGTGTGTGAAGATACTGTCTATGTAGGGAGCTTACTATGTTTGCGGTCATGGAAAATCATTCATCTAGTTGCTCTTGTGAAAAGAAGTGATTTCACAACAAAATGGTTTTAAAGAAATCTTAACTAAGCAGACATGGTTTTACCTGTTTACTATAGTCTCGCTTCAATTGATGGTCTCTTTATTATAAATAATTCAAATAACTTGTGTGAATCTTGTGTTTAAATGTTCAGTTTCTATATTTTCAGCACATCATCCAAAGCACAAACATGCAAACAGTTAGTTTTCATTTCGGCAACTTTATTTTATTAGGTTACGGTCCCATATTCAAATCAGCAACAGTGTAAAGGACACATTAATGCATGTAGTTTTCCTATGCACATTTAAATCCTAAAAACGAATAGATTTAATCTGGTCAACACTAAAATGTATCGACATGGAGGTGCAGCTTTTATTGTAAAGGTCTGCTGCTCATACTGTACTTATAAACTGCTTATTTACACAAATTGCAAACAATGAATTTCAAAATCTGAGCTTGTTTTGACTTGTTTTCACTCATTGGGCTAAAAAATCAGCTCAGTCATCTTGTTCACAATAGTTGTTCTTCATATTAATGTAGCAAGCATGTTAGCCACATAGCCAAAATATGAGTTCACAGTCGTAGTTAGAATTGGCAAATGAATTAAACGCACATCTATGAGTTGCTCTAGTTCAAGGTTCGCCTGAGCTGGTGACCCTGAATCCCTCAATCTACATCCAGCCTGTTATTTATAAAACAGAGAGTTCCGGTGCTTGATTCTGATTGGCTGAGTCGCGTTCAAAGCTGTTGTAAATTACTCTACAAAGTAACATACACCTTCGTTTACTTCTGTGTTGCTCGGCAACCACTTTGTAGCAACCACAACTGTTTCTGAGGAGCTACATTGTTTGGTGGAAGTATACTGTTTTTATTAATATCATTACACTTTATTTGCTCTGTTTTATTTTGTGAAACCTTGCTACGTATATGGAATAACCCCCGTAAATAGGCCCGGTGAAGCTGTGGTTTACAGTGATTTTATAACAGCTAAGGGGGTTTTAGTCACTCCGCTTCGCGCCTAACAACGCCCCTCAGCTCACGCAGCGATCCGCATCCCTCAAAGATGCCATCCGACGGCAGTGAAGCCTGACTGAAGTGAAAGGTGTTTGGAGACTCTTCAGCTGTTCTGAAAGCTAACCGGAGGAAACTCCTCTTCATCATCCAGACAGACAGACAGGTCCATCCACAAACTCATGCTGATTCATGCACAAACTCATTCAGTCTGATGCATGAATACAATACAAGTTTATCGAGAGCTCTGACCATCAGCGCTGCAAACTTCAAGAGCTAAAGCTTGAATCAAAGCCATGAATACTTCAATGTGAATTTGATTTTGAGTGACAATCGAAAAGCCTCATTTATACAGTCGAGAGGTTTTGTTTCATAGAATCATCGACTAGTTTCCTGAAATTACTGTATACACACAAAAGTTTTATGTGGTGGCAACAATATGTTAATAGTTTTGCAGAAATTAAATATTTTACAGTGTATTGTGTCAAACTGGACAAAAACTAAATGATTTATATATTTTTTTGTTTATTGTGAATCAAACTGGACAAAAGTAACTGTAAATCAATTATATATTTGATAGTTTATTGTACATTAAATTGAACAAAAAACTGTAAATTAATTATATATTTTATGGTTTTTGTGAAACAAATCAGACAAAAACCTGTAAATGAATTATATATTTTATGGTTTATTGTGCAACAAATTCGACAAAATAACTATAAATCAATGATATATTTGATGGTTTATTGTGCCAAAAAAAATGTTGACAAAAACTGTAAATCAATTATATATTTAAAAGTTTATTGCAAATTAAATCAGACAAAAAAACTATAAATAAATTATATATTTTATGGTATATTGTGCATCAAATTGGACAAAAACTGTAAATCAATTATATATTTAATAGTTTATTGCGAATGGAAACAGACAAAAAAAAACTATAAAACAATTATATATTTGATGGTTTATTGTACATTAAATTGAACAAAAAACTGTAAATTAATTATATATTTTATGTTTTTTTGTGAAACAAATCAGACAAAAACCTGTAAATCAATTATATATTTTATGGTTTATTGTGCAAAAAATGTTTTGACAAAAACTGTAAATCCATTATATATTTAAAAGTTTATTGCGAATGAAATCAGACAAAAAAAAACCTATAAAACAATTATATATTTGATGGTTTATCGTGCAAAAAAACTGTTAATTTTAAATGATTAAATTCAAACGTCCATCATAATGGACGAATTTGTTTGAGAATTTCTGACTTCTGAGTGTTTATGGATGTTCTTTGGTCATTTGTCAGGTGATTTTCTGTGCTCAGCCTACAATCAGAAATGGCAGCAGGTGAGAATCAATCCATATTTATTTATATTTGTTGCTATCAAATATGAACACGATAGGTCTGCAAAACAAGAAAAAGTCCCATTCATTTTCTCCATGCTGGAATTGATTTTTATCAATAATTTATAAACCTTTAAAGTTAGACCTGATAGACCGCATTATTTCAAGTTTTTTTTTTTTTTTTTTACAAATATAATTTTTTAAACAGCGGATTTACTGGTGAAAAACTACATTACCCATGAGCCTGCAAAATCTCCACCAATCACAGCATAGAAACAGGCAAATCGCTCTGTAAGAACGGCCCACTCCCATCAACCTCTCTGAAATAAATAAACAAACGCAAAATATTTTTCTAAATACATAATCATCATCTTTAAGTCAATAAATCTATATTTATTCATTGTCACTTGCAACGCTTCATGGAAGTATGCGGTTCTTTTCCCTGATTGGTGGAAATTTTTCACAGACTCATGGGTAATGTAGTTTTTGATCAGAAATTCCGATGTTAAACATGATTAAAGTTAAAATAATATTCAACAGAGGCATATACAATCGATTAACAACTTTATAGTTCTTTCCTTCATAAAAGCCGTCAAGTTTATTCAGTTTTGTCTGCCTTTTTGTTCAGACCAATGCAAAAATCGGATCAATTTTTGTTGTAAATCTTAATTGGTATATTGAAAACAATCTAATGTGTATTCTAAAAATCTCAACACTTTGGCTAATAAGGCAGTCTATGTGAAATAGTTTATGGAGCAGATAAAATGCCTATAATTTATGATTTTGATCATTTTCTTAAAAATGAGTTAAATGTGAGGTTTATCCTTTCATAAAACTTTATTTGTGCATGTAGTACTTGTTAGTAGATAACATGTTATGTTGTAAGTCACCCAACCTAGATTTTTTGTTTGGCCATCATTTTTAATATTAATATTTTAATGTTTATGCAAACAAAAAGTGCATAGCGCTGCTAATTTTATTTGTTGTTTGTTGGTTTTTGACATAAAACTCATGATTTCATTGTGTGTATGAGTACTTTTTGAACATTTCCAACACATTTTAACAATACCGTGATAATAATATAATAATATTGATAATATTGTTCATTGTGTGATTCAGCTGCAAATTAAAGAAAAAATGTTTTTCAAGGCACTTTGTGACTTTTCTTACTTCATACACAAAAAGTGCAAACTTTGACAAAATTTGATTTCTTGATTATTTGATATTTTATAACAGAGATTTTATCATTTCAAAATATAAAGCAAAAAGTAGAGATGAATGACTAATAAACCAATAAGTGCTCCTCTGCTGCCATCTACTGGTTATAGTGATAATTTGAAGTATTTTTATTTTTTATTTTACAGAAGTGTTTGTTTACCACAAAGTATATTTTGGTCCTCCCATTAAAAATTGGATCCCATTAAATAAATTGGATAATTTTTAGAGCTCTAAAGTGCTGTATATAGTTTTGTGAAAAGCTTGAAAGTCATTGCAAAGTGCTTGAATTTCTCTTTCAGAAGGCTGTACAATCCCTGAAATGAATAATGTAATAACATTCGACTATTTCTGCCATAAGGGACTGCCAGTGGCAGGCTGTTGCACGCATAAAATGCAACCTTTTTATTCTAACAGTGTATGATTTATATTAACATTACAGAATAGAACGTGATCAATAGGAAATGTAACGTTCAATTTAAATAAATGTAATTGCACAAACTATGCAGGCTACAATTTCAATTTGTTTATTGTGAAATAACGCAAAAATATGTTTTTTTACACATCTGTTTTTCTGTTTCGTCATGCTTTTGATGTTTCTCATATGCAACAGAAATGGCAGCGCTTTGCAAAAGTAAAATGCACCATCAGTGCGTGCGCTCGCAAACATGAAAAAATGATCGCAAAATGCAACCATTTGGTCGCAGGCCCCTGTCATTTATTAAATTGCAATGTTACATGAGTCAAAAACAATGAAAACAATAACTTTTTTTCCTTAAATTATGTTAATAATAACAATTTCCTGAAAATATGATGTTCTTTGTGTTGTTTTCATTGTGATAATCCATTGCATATTAAAATGGTACTAAAACGGACTATTACCCAACACTCAGTTTTGGTCCCCTCCAGATTTGCGCCCCTTGGTTCATGGCTTATAACATCCAAACGAAGACGTTTTTAAAACCCCGATGGGAAAATGAATTGAAAGCATCAAATATGTTGAAAAATATGAAGAAAAAAACCAGACCACTTCTGCGTGTAATTACGCGTTCTGACTCGAGTGATTCCGAAGCCCGCCGCTAGGGGTCTCTGTATTTCCAGCCGGTTTGTGGGCAGAATAAAGGGAGGGAGGCGATAAGACGCTGATAAATTCTCTAGAGTGAAAGAAAAGGATCTCTCTCTCTCTCTCTCTCCACCGCCAGAACCCTGAGCGCGAAGACAAAGACTATATTCTTACCCATTGCTATCCCATCACTAAGTGGACTCACAGCCCCGGGCTTCACAGCTACACGCGCCTGCGGTCATCTGAACGTGTTCATCAACCTGCTCGCGATAGAACAGCCGACCGCGGAGACGAATCGATCCGTTCCTCCGGCGAGTCATGGCGAGAGAGGCCGAGCGGGACAGCTGCCTCC